GATAAACCGTATATTGCCGTAGTCGTGTGTTTATTAGTCGCGTTGAATCAATGAAAGCAGTTGAATCTTCTGTTTATTCCGCTGCAGCGATAGGTATTTTCTGGGTTTCTTCTGCGAGGTGTATTTGGAGTTTCAGCGTGAGAGCGCCCTCTGACCTTTGGATGGAGATTTACTGCTGATCACAGAACCATGCTTCACTGAAAGATACGCATGACAATCGCAGCTTCTGTCGAATCGCGACGCATTTCGATTTATCGTGCAGCCCTAATTGCAATATTGAATGGTTACACTTTCTACACATAAACAGGCTACACATAAAAGCAGAACTTGTTCAGATCGTTCAGCATATAAAAGACAAATTAGATGTTTTTTGTCATTGTTACATTTGGCTTTGGCTGGTTAGAGACTCTAAAAAAAAGAAAAGAAAAGAAAACTGAGCTCATTAAATCTTTTCTCATGTCATCGTCTATCTGTATAGTTGTTGATTTGACCGTTAATATCTTTTGCCCTGTTATGAGAAATTTATTGATGTCATAGCGCTGCCAAACATCTTCATTTTATCTTCCTCTTCAGTGAATTTGTTGAAGTAGCATTTCTAGGTATTTACAACAATCTTTTCTCATGGCCCATCATTTCCTTTATGAAAACTGGCACTCAGAGTAAGGGTATGCTGTAAGCCTAACCAAAATGATCAAGATGTATTACTTCCACTTTCCGAAGTTCACAACCTAGCAATATTCGCCTGGTTTCTCTACATAGGATTTGTTGCTATGTGGAACCACTTTTTAAATTAAATTATAAAACCTTATGGCCTTCTGCGGTATTATCTTTTCTTCTGTGTAAAATTGTAGTTTCAAAGAAATCTCTCGTTTGGTGAATAGGGTTGAGTCACTATCAAAAGCTGAGAGACCAATACCAGAGAATCAGTTCTTGGTAAAACAAGAAGAGCAAATTATATTGAACACTCTCCTTTATTTAAAGCTGACATCTGATTTCTGATCCGCTGTTGTCACCAAAACAAATTGCAAAAATAAGGATGTTTTAAAACTTGTTTCCCAAAGAATCCCTCATCTATCACTGATCAACAAACAGTTATTCCTGAATCAAACTAAAAGCATTTGTTACGCTAATTTTGCTATGCCAGGCCACTAGAAATTGTGTCTTTATCTCTGCATATTTAACTAAAATAAGAGAAAGTATTTAAACTACTGTTCAAAAGTTTGGGGTCAGTATGATATATATTGAAAGAAATTAATACTTTTATTCATCAAAGATGCATTAAATTAATCAAATGTGACAGTAAAGAGGTTAGTAATGTTAACAAATATTTACATTTTAAACTAAT